GAAAATTCTGGGAAGGCTTTTGTGAGATAACACAGAGTTGTAACCAGAGAGGAGGAGAGCTTGATGGTAAGTTTACACTTACTACCATGTTTCCCCCCAAATAAGACACTGTCTTATATTTATTTTTTCTCAAGAAGACACACTAGGGCTTATTTTCAGGGGATGTCTTCCTCTCCGCGCTGAAGCATGGCGTGGCTACGCTGCATAGCCATGCCCATCACTAGGTCTTATTATCTAGGTAGGGCTTCAAATTTAACAAATGCATAGAAATCCTGCTAGGGCTTGTTTTGGGGGTAGGTTTTATTTTTGGGGAAACACGGTAAGTACCACCCAGCTTTGAGAAAGAGTCTGCCTAATGCCCATTCTAGAGATGAGGAAACAGTCTCAAGGAGGTTAGTTGCCAGGAAGACATAGCATCTACTAACTGATCTATTGTATTTTATGGACGTGAGTCACCCCTAGATGCCTAATACCTGGTGCCTCTGATTTCCTTACCCAGTTCTTCTCAAATTGTAATGAGCACACAAATTCCCTGGGAGCTTGTTGAAATGCAAATTCTGATTCATCTGTTCTGGGAGGGGTCTGAGATCCTGCGTTTCTGACAAGCTCCCAGGTGAGTCTGCTGCTGTTGGTCTGGGACCACATTTTGAATAGCCAGGCTCCAGTTTCAGGCTTTTTCTGGTGAATTTGGAACTGCATACACTTAAATTCCTCAGGCGGCAGTGGAGAGTGGTTTAGAGTACACCGTCTGAAGTGAAGTTGGTATGAGTAGAAAAGATACACACCAGACTTTGAAGACGTTGTAAGGTCAAAAGAATATAAAATATCTCATTCATAACTTTTTATATTAATTACATGTTGAAGTGATGAAATCTGGGGTAAAATAAAATGTTTTTAAAAATCTGACTGGATGCCGTGGCTCAGAGCTGTAATCTTAACACTCTGGGAGGCCAGGGTGGGAGGATCCCTTAAGTTGGGGAGTTTGAGACTAGCCTAGGCAAGACCAAGACCCTGTCTCTATTAAAAGTAGAAGAATCAGTTGAGAGTAGTGGCAGACATCTATATTTGCAGCTACTCAGGAGACTGAAGCAGGAGGATCATTTGAATCCTGGACTTTGAAGTTGCTGTGAGCTAGGCTGATATCATGGCACTCTAGCCTGGGAAACAGAGTGAGACTCTCTCTCTCAAAAGAAATCTATTTTTTTTTTTTTTGTCCAGGGCTGGGTATGAACCTGCCACCTCCGGCATACGGGGCCAGCACCCTACTCCTTTGAGCCACAGGCGCCACCCTCAAAAGAAATCTATTTCACCTGTATCTTTTTACTTTTTTATATGTGGCTATAAGAATATTTAAAATTATGCATGCAGTTTGCACTAGATTTTTAGTGAACAGTTCTGGTCTACAGCAAAGGTTCTCAACCAGGCAGGGGTAATTTTGGCCCCTAGGTGTGTATTTGGCAATGTCCAAAGACGTTTTTGTCTTGGTTTTCATTACTAGATTGGGTACCACTGCAGGTGTGTAGTTGGTAGAGGCGAGAAATGATACTAAAAACACCCTACGGTACACAGGACGGCTCCTCACCACCAAGAATTATCCAGGCCAAAATGTCGGTAGTGCTAAGGCTGAGAAATTCTGGTCTGGAATCATCCCCACTGTCTCTGAGATTATTTTATTTACTTTATTATGTCTCCATTGTCTTCATTCCCTGCTAGCATACAAGCCCCACAAGTTCAAGGACCTTGGCTGCCTGTGCCTGCGAGGCAGGTGCTCTCTAACATACGTTGAGTGTCTGTGGAATCACTTGAGCCAACCAAGTGGTTTGGATTCATAGGCCCACCAGCGAAGGGCCTCAGAACAGAGCGAGACCACTCTACCCTGAAATCAAGGCAGGATAAGACCAAATCTAAACGTGTGGGTCTTGACTGACTGCTCCTCACAAGTGCACGTCAATCAGACAAATCAGCAAGCATTAACTGGGGGAGCAGAGAATTGTCTCTGAAGGGCTTGTCAGTCAGGCCTCTGTGCACAGCCCTACCCAGCCTGGCCCTGGCGGGACTTTCATTCCGGGTGGGGCCGGCTCCCAGGCCTCCACAGACCAGACTGCTTTGGCTTCCAGTGACTTTATTCACCTCCAGTGGTGGTTTCTAAGGACTGGCTCCAGCTCATCTGATCTGTCATCTTCCCATAGTTGCTGGGCCCTGTGTGGAGCCCAGACCCAGGACTTCTAAGGGAGAGCCTACTCCAGTTAGCAAGAGGCGGGTGGGTGGGGAGGGTGAGGCCTGAGAGCAACTTGGGTCCACCCAGGGCATGCAAGGGAACGGAATGGGGCAGATTAATTCCTCTTGTTCTGGTAATTCTTTAATCTTCCGTATAAAGCCTGGAAAGCCACTGTGCTGGGCCTGCTCCCTTTCCCTCTGGTCACTCCCTGGGGTGGGGCCCTCTCCTGGTGGGAGTCAGGAGAACTGGCCTAGAGCTGGCCTTTGTGACCTAGGGTCAGTGAGGGAAGCCTTTCCGAGTGTCAGTTTCCTCTTCTGTAAAATGGGGGAAGGGAGAAAGGAGTCAGAGTTATATTGACCTTTGCACTTGTAGCACTTGAACACTTCCTCTGCACTTCAAAATAAAGCCCAAGTCGCGAAGCATGGCCCAATTTCACTTTTGTCACCTTCCTGCTTCCCCTGCTGCAGTCCAGCTCCTCGCTCCAGGTAGTGACTGCACCCCAAGCTCCAGTGGCCTATTCTCAGTTTTGTTAATGTGTCTTACTAGTTTTTGGACATCACAGTCTGCAGAGCTTTCTAAAGTTATGTTTAAAAGCGGGTGTGGGAGACCCCATGGCACCTGTTAACTGTGTGCTCTTGGGCCAGGTACTTAACCTCTCTGTGCCTCAGTCCCCTCTTCTGGAACAATGAGAGTAATGATGGTCCCTAACTCATAGGGTTATTGTGCAGGTTGAAGGAGATGATGCTTGCAGAGTTGTTTACAACAATCCCTAACACCCAGAAAGCCACAAGGAAAGAATTTATCATAATTTCTGAAGCCTGTTCATGCTCATCTCTTAGGAGTCAGCTCAGTTCTTACCCTCTTCCAGGAAGCCTTCCCTGATTTCCACCCACCTGCTGAGGTAGCTGTCCCTCTTCTGACTCCTGACTCACCCTGGGCTCACTCTGTCACGCTTATCATCCCTGTGGTAACTGCTTGTTTACTCCTCTACCTCCTCTCAATAGACTGTCACTTCCTCTAGTCTAAAGGTTAGAAACCGCCTGCTTGCTGGCCCAAACCACAGGTGTACTTTAGCTGGACTCCCTCTGGGAATTTGGAAAACTTTTAATTGGATGTTAAGCTTTGTGTCTGTTTGTTTGTTTGTTTTTGAGACAGAGTCTTACTTTGTTGCCCTGGGTAGAGTGCTATGGCATCATCATAGCTCATACATCAAACTCTTGGGCTCAAGCAATCCTCCTGCCTCAGCCTCCCATGTAGCCAAGACTACAGGCACCCACCAAAATGCCTGGCTATTTTTAGAGACATAGTCTGGCTCTTACTCAGGCTGGTCTTGAACTCCTGAACTGAAATAATCCACCTGCCTTGACTTCCCAGAGTATTAGGATTACAGGTGTGAGCCACTTCATCCAGTCTGGATGTTAAACTTTGAAAATAAGATCCCCTAAAATATAAAGCATATTTTTTAAAATCCGAAAAACAGAATTTATTTTTAAAATTGGGCGATTTCACATAAAAATTTGGATTTCTGTATTTCTTTTTGAAAATCAGAAACCCTGCAAATACAAGCCACTGTCATCATCTGTGCCTATAAGACTGTCACCCAAAGGGGGCCCGGGCACTTAGTTTTCTGCAGGCCCTGCCCAGCCTGATTATTCCCACTCTGCCCCCCCCCCCCAAATAAGGTGATGGTATAAAGCTATCATCTAAATCAGGCCACTTTTGAGACTGAAGGTGGAAGGCTATATCAATAACCACAAATAAACTAGACAGATGGGGGAAACTGGATCACACTCCACTTATTTGTTATCTTGGGTCCCATGTTACACACTTCCTGCCATGTAAATGCTCAATAAATGATAATCAACAACAGCTAAGGTTTCCCTAGTACTGGTTTAACATATTAATTCACAAACTCCTCCCAAGATCTCTGAGAGGTAGAGACATTGTCTGGGTATATTAGTAACTGTCTCAGTCACACAGCTAGGAAGTGTGTAGCCAAGGCAATGTAAGTCTAGAGGCTGTGTGTTGGCTCAATCAGTAATTAACATGTGAGGTTCTTCCCAGCTCTAGAAATCTCTGGTTCTTTGTATTTTTTCCCTCTCATTTTTTCCTTTCTCTCCCAAGCCTCTCCTTCCTTTTTCTCTTATCCTCTTTCTCTGACTCTTAAATTTCCTTCTCTCTTCCACTGTCTTTCTTTTTGTGTCTTTCTCTGTCTCTCCCTCAGTCTCTCTCTCTCTCTCTAACTCTCCCTCTACCCCCTGCCTCATGCATCTTACCAACCATGACTGAACACTTTTATGGGAGAAGAATATGTTTTCAGTAACTCACTGTGGGGCTTGGCTTGCAGAAATCCGACAAGCCAGGCCCTGTGCCTTCTCTACACTTCTGGGGAGAACTTCTGAGGACAGAGGCACAAAGACCACAAGCTGTGAGATTCAGAATCCCAGTGGACAAGCCTCCCCCTCCACACTCCCAGCCTGGCCTCTGTCCTCCTTGAGAACAATGAGCTGAACGGTGTCCCGATGACTTTCAGCAGGCAGGACTGCAAAAAAGAAAAGAGTCTGGACTCGGGCCTTCCTCCACACCAGACTCACAGGTAAATAGAATTAATGGTGCGTCTCTCTTTGTGGCAAAAGAAGGATCACGCCAGCATGGTTTTTGCAGAAGTAATCCCTCCGATGTATATGTTCAAAGCATGTGAAAAGAGTGTCTTTCAAAGGGGAAAATAGTTTTGCAATATTATTTGGAAGCCAAGGAAAAAGACTTTTTTTTTTAAATTCAGTTTCCAAAGAGACCTCTAAAAATTGTCAGTGCCAACTATATTGCAAGTCATCATGGCAGGGTATTGGGAAAAGTTTTCAATTAGCAATAATCGCTCCTCCGATAAACCTCATTGGCTACGTACGATACTGCCACTGTGCAAAGCTTCTTTTTCTTAACATACAAACAAGGGGGAAAGTGTTAGAGGAGAAAGTGGTTCTGGCCATCAGTGAAGTAAGTGCAGTTTTACAGGGAAGGGAGGCAGAGGAGAAGAGAGAGAAGAGAAGGGAATGAAGGGGGGAGGAAGAGGAAGAAGAGGAGTTGGGGGAAGAAGGTGACAGAGAGGAGACTTCACCAGCTCAGCCTAGGCTGCTAGCTGCATTGCTGAATGCATGGCCCCGCTGAGTGAGGGCAGAAGGGAGCAGAAGGGGACAGGGAGAGAGAACCAAAGGCACGGAGATGCTTAGTCTCAAATCTCTTTTTCACCTTGGTTTCCAAATGGGTGTTCCCATGCTCTGGAGGGGAAGTGTTCAGACACAGGCTTGCTGGTGGGGCTGAGTCAGGGCCCCACCCAGCCCTCTGCCAGCCCAGGGGCCTCTCCTTGCCCACAGGCTTGGCAGCTGCTGTTTCTCCTGTTATCAGGAGAAAACAAGACAGCAAGGGCATGAGAGGCCACTTAAAGTCACACCCAGGAACATGGGGTCTAGCTCCCAGAGCCCCGCTGCTGGGTGTCTGCAGTCATCCTGGCAATGAATGGTGAGCTGTCTCACCAATGTCAGCAGCCCAAGGGAGGCAGCCCCGGGGAGAGGGATTAGCCCAGCTGCGAAGGTCTGTTGCCACAGTGCCTATTTCCGTTATGACCACCCCTGCACCACTGTCCCCTACTCTTTCGCTGTAAAGCCTGAGAGGGGCAGGAATCCCGTCATGGGTCTCACTGCATAGCCAGCACGTGATGTGCAGGCTGGTATACAGTAGGTGATTAGTAATAGAATAAATTAGCATGCATTCAAATCTCCCTGCTGCCCCTGTCCAGCTGAAGTGCCTTACCCTCTCTGAGCTGCCACCTCATGGGACAACGGGAGAATGCCCGTACAAGTATAGGCTAGATGCCTCCCCACATAGTGAGATGAGATAGCGGGGCCTCCAGCCTATAGTTGTCAAAATACGGTGAAGTGGGAGTGGAGGAGATAGTTTCCTTTTCCAGAAGTCTGCAACTCCTGCTGCTGGTAATCCTGAGTGTGTGGTACAGGTGATACTTTTTAGAAAGATGGTTCCAAGCTCACGTTCTCAGGGGCAAATACCTGGATTCCCATCCAGCCTCCAGCCCTCACTCCCTGGTGATCTTGGGCAAGCCTCTTAACATCTCCAAGCTTATTCTCGTTGTCGTGAGTTTACATGAGATAAATCCTATGCTGTCCCTGGCACATAGTTGATGCTTGGTTCGTGTTAGCCATTATCACCACTTTCCCTCTCCCAGCTCTGTGAGGTAGATGTGACTCTGACCAGGATGCAAAAGAGGAAACTGGGGCCAGCCAGGTGGAGAGGCCCTACTGACAGCAGAACCAGAACCAGACACTTCCCAGCCCCCCACCCTCCCAGGCCCAGCACAGCTGCCAGAAACAAGTGACAGTATCACCCTCACTGCCCCGGCTCCTGGCCCCCGGTGGAGAAGTGAAACACGAACCCACTGGTGCACGAAAGAAGAGAAGGAACCAGCTGAGGTGAGGAGAGTCGCGCAGCCCCTGAATCCTTTCACAGGGACAGTCTGTCTAGGGTAAGGTCAAGTCCCGGGCAGTGAGCAGGTGGAGGCAGTGGGAAGATAGTGTGACAAGAGGGGGGCCTGGGGGTGAGTGGCAAGGGGTGAAAAGCTGGTCCTGAGAATGCGGAAGGAAGCCCTTTATCAGCATTAACAAGAACAGAGAGGGAAGTTGTTTGCATCTAGCCAGATACCTCAGCTATGACCTCCTGTCTCTAAGGAGGGGGTCCCTGTGAGTTTTGCTTTCAAAAGTCTCTGGGGGAAAAGAACATGTCCCTTCTTCTTAGAAGCTGCCTCACCCTAACCAAAGAAATCTTTCTGTGGCTTTTCTGACCAATCACCACAGGTTGGCCTTTCTGCCTCCAGTGATAGCTGGCATTTCCCATGCTTTCAGCCTACCCATTTTACAGGTGAAGAAACTGAGTCTTGAACCTGGCCTCTGGTTCTGTCTGCCATTAGCAGCTTTGGGATCCTACTGTGTTTACCAAACAAGCCTCAGTCTTCCCATCTGTAAAGTGGAGGAGTCTAGGCTATGTCTTCCTCTCAGTCTTTCCTCTTCCCTTCCCTCCAGAGGAAAGGCTGTGGAATTCTAAGGCAAAAGTCATCATGGTTGAAGGACATGGATTAGTCAAGAACCCAGCACTGAGGTCAGCCTCTGGAAGCAATTTAAAATGACCCAGGGATCTGAGATTCCAACCCCCCACAGGCAAGCAGAAGTGTCCCCTCCCACATAGGGCCACCTCCCTTCCTGAGCAGGCAGGCTCTGATTCTGTGGGTGAACAGCTGTGCGCCTGTGAGTCTCCAATGCCAAGCACGTAGGCCTGAGAGCAGGCACGATGCTCTATGGACAGCCATTGTTCCTGCCTGCCTGGGACACACCTGCACTGCATGGGCCAGGCGCCCAGCCAGGACTCACCATCTCCTTTCATCCTCACAGTAACCCATAGGAGGTACACGCCCATTTTACACCCGAGGAAGCGGAGGCGCCTTGCCCAGGGGCCTGCCACTGCAGGTGACAAAACAGATTCAACCCCAACCCGAGTGTCTCCTTTGGACAGAGCCATTCTGTTTAAATTAATGCTGGGTGATCAAGTTATATGCATATTTTGCCTATAACGAATGGGGAATACTTGTGTTTTAAAAGGGAGTAACCAATTTCAGCATTCACAGATAACACGACGTGTTGCCTGGAATTTGACTCAAGCTATTCCAGTTTTGGAGGACGGTAAAAATCAAAGGGAAACTGGCCATAAGTTGATAACCCTTGAAGCTGGGTATTATGGATGAAGTTGATACTATTCTCTCTTGTTGTGAACATGTTTGAAAGGGTCCATGATAATTTTAAAGAATAACTTACATTTAAAAAGTACTAAGTGATTGATTTGAGATAAACGAACTAGCATTGGAAAAGTCCTATCATGGGCCAGGGATGCTTTGTCCCACCCTGCAGCTGGAAGCACTTTAAGGTCGGCCAGGAGAAGGTATTCATTACAGCCTCCTGGTTCTGCTCTCCCTGGACCACAATGGCCTTCTTTGCATCCAAGAGAGCAATCTTCCCCCAAAGTGCTGGCCAAGTCGAGACTGCAGGCTAAGGCTCCCAAAGCCGCACTGTGGTTTAATGACGGAATTTGGAACCATATGTGGTTCACATTCCCTCAGTCAGGAGACTTGGGGAATCACTTATAAAAGTTCTCAGCAAAGGCCCAGCAGCTACCCACATCCAAGGACACCCAGAAAATTGAGGAAGACGAGACCTCTGACTTCCACAAGATGGTCAAATATCAGGCAGTGGCCCCTCAGGCCCAGCACACAGTCCTGCCTGTGTCTGGGGTTCCTTGGGGTGGTGGGGGGAATGACTTGATTTGTCTTTCCAGATTCCCCTAACACAAGGACACCTCCATCTTTATGGCCTTCCCTGTCCTCACATAAGTGGGAATCACTTCTTTATTATATGGAGCAATAGTCATTCATTTTTTCATTAGCTAGTTATTGAGCGCCAACTGTATGCATTGGGGTTACAGTATATTCCAGATAGATAGGTAACTTACATAGCATGTGACAGACATGGTCACTATGCTCCAGGAGCTTCTGATTTCCTAGGGTAGAAAGGTAATCATCAATGATTAATGCTGTTAATCACTAAATTATAATTCTGACAAATGTGTTAGAGAAGTGCCGGCACCATGAGGGCATATAAGGAATGGAATCTGATGAGGGCAGTGGAGAGGATAATGTCTACTAAGAACTGAACATTTGCAGTGCTGACCAGCCACACAGGGGAAAGGGGTTACTCCAGACAGAGGGAACAGCATGTGCACAGGTCAGCTGGAACATGGCTCATTCAAGGAAGTGAGGCCACAGTGCAGACTGTGCAGGGTGATGAGTGCAGATCACGAAGGGGCTTGAAGGCCAGATGGAGGCCGATGGAGTGCTCAGTGTGTGAGTGTGTATAAGCACGTGCGTGTGGTAATTTACACCTAAAATGAGCACTCTGGTAGCTGGGGGTGCTGAATGAGTCAGAGCAAGGCAATGTAGATGCTGGAGCCTGGCCTGAGTTATAGACCCCACTAACCCTGAGCCAGTAGTAAGTACCCCTGTGCAGTGAACAGCCTGCACAACCGTACACAGTGGCTATGGTATGATCAGGAGGCTGGAACAGCATTTATTGCTGAATCTGCCTTCTGCGCTTTAAGTACCTCGAGTTCTGAGTTCTTGAATTTCATTTTCATGTTTGTAAACCCAGTGCACATAGGATATGCTCCTAAGACTTGCTGAGTGGATTTTTCTTTAGCCGTTGTTTTTTTTATACTTTCTTTCTTTTTTTTCAATAAACTTTATTTCATGCTTGCCTTTATTTTATTTATTTATTTATTGTAGAGACAGAGCCTCATTTTATCACCCTCAGTAGAGTGCCATGGCGTCACATAGCTCACAGCAACCTCCAACTCCTGGGCTTAGGCGATTCTCTTGCCTCAGCCTCCCGAGTAGCTGGGACTACAGTCTCCCACCACAACGCCCAGCTATTTTTTTGTTGCAGTTTGGCTGGGGCAGGGTTTCAACCCATCACCCTCGGGACATGGGGCCGGCGCCCTACCCACTGAGCCACAGGCACCACCCTATTTATACTTTCTATCTTATTCTTTTTTTTTTTTTTTTTTTTTTTTGAGACAGAGCCTCAAAGTAGAGTGCCGTAGCATCACAGCTCACAGCAACCTCCAACTCCTGGGCTCAAGCAAGTCTCCTGCCTCAGCCTCCCAAGTAGCTGGGACCACAGGCGCCCGCCACAGTGCCTGGCTATTTTTTGGTTGCAGCCGTCATTGCTGTTTTGGCAGGCCCAGGCTGGATTTGAACCCCCACCTTAGGTGTATGTGGCTGGCGCCTTAGCCACTTTCCTAGGCGCCGAGCCCTATC